TAAAGCAATATTTAGAATTTAAAAACAAGATAAACTAAATATTAATAACTAAAATAAAAAAACATAACTAAAATAAAAAAAATTAAAAACTAAGATAAAGAAAAAAAATTAAAAACTAGCTTCTGAAGCAACACCTAGGTTTATAAGCTAAATAAAATTAAGAACTAAGATAAAAAAAAAATTAGAAACTAGCTCTCAAAGCAATGTTCAGATCTATAAGCTAGATAAAATAAAGAAAGAAATTAGAAACCAAAAGAAAAAAATTAGAAACAAAGATTAAAAAAAAAAAATTAAGAATTAAGATAAAGAAAAAAATTAGGAACTAGCTTCCGAGCAACGCCCGGGTCTATGAGCCAGTATTATTAATAAAAAAAATATGTGATTATAGTTCTAACAAGGCTTATAAAGACACACTTCTAAATTTATACAAAAAAAAATAGGATTATCGTGACCATCTAAAGCCCCAGGAAATATGCCACGAGGGAACCCATCATTCTCTGCAGATCATGATGTCATAAAATCACGGGAAACCAATTTTTAGCAAATATTCTACCGCTACGTATTTAAAAAATCATAGACTATCATCATCACGAAAATCACTAGGTCACATCTTTTTATAAACTGCAATAATATAAGTTATAGCTACTTTGTAAATACCCTGATTAGAAAACTTTCGTAAGATTTATCTCATCGTTGTATTTAAATGATTAGCTAGCAATTAGTCTACGGATCTCAGATCTAGTGTTTAAAATTGCATTGATTTGCACATGAAGGTAGTAGGCAAGAATTTAAGTTAAACCAATTTGATTCTGTGTTTTACATTACACCCTCTCTCCCTCATAGATAGTTTATTTGACAGTATTAAAGCGGGGCCGACATTAAACCAAAAACATAAATTGGGTACATCCGAAAACTTCCGATTAGACGATGAATGAACACAAAGCACGAGCAAGGGCAAATCCGAAAGATTCGAAAAATTTTTTGCAAATTTTATAAAAAAACTTCGGAAAGAATCATATAAAAAAAAGTTTTAAAGATTTACTATGTAAACGCTTGAAAGCCCTCTCTCCCCTCTTTCAAAGTGGAGGAGGTAATGTAAAACACAATCAAATTGGTCTGGACTTAATCCGAGTTCAATGTAAGGCAGTGTTCCATAATAATATTAAAAAGAGGCGAAAAATATTGCGCAACTGAGTACAAAATGACACTAATGATGTCAAAATTGTACGGCAACTGTTTTCAAAAGGGTGTGAATAAACGTAGATCACTATTTCACGATATTCTCAAATTTCTAGAATTATTCCGAATCAGAATTTTCATATCATAGTCGTCCAATGGAAAAAATATAGGGAATAAAAAACAATCTTAGAATTGATTGATTGCAAGTCACGTTTTTAAGGTTACGTGATTCTTGTTAAAAATACTAATATCCACACAAAACAGTTTTTTATTTATTTTAACGTTAATTATAGAATTAAAAAAACATCCAAAATGCATATCAAAATATGCAGAATTACGTCCTATCGCTATAATGATAAGTAAATTTATGGAGGATCTCGTTTCAACGATGATTATGGTTGCCAAATTTAAAAAATTATTTACTTAACGTTAAGTGAATCTATAAACTAGCCCAAAATAAACTTCATTATGTATTATGATACACCAGTAAAATTCGGATGATCGTTCATAATCGTTGATAAAATTCAGAACTTCACATGTGTATTACGTATTTATCTTATTTTTAGCATTCATATATAATATTAAATTTTCTAATATTCGAAATATTTCGATTTTATATAAATAAGGCTCGAATTTTTTTAAAAATTTTCAACAATTATTTATCAAATTTATAAAGTTAAGAAAAAAAAAAAAAATGGAAAATACATCTGATATTAAGACATGGGACAGTATGATGTTCGATTTCACTAACGCAATTTCAAAGGACACTGAATGTACAGAATTAATCACAATCTTAATCAGAATGTTGTTTAGCAATAATGAATTGGGTATATTTGATTTATTACCTGAACGATCTAAAGACGTAGTTAAAATGGATGATGTCAAAAAAGAACTTAAAATAAGACATAATGCAATAGTAAAAATTAAACAAAATCTTATTAATTATCAAAATGCTCGAAAATCAGATAGATCAATTTACATGACGAACTTGATTAAATTATGTGATGATTTTTATAATGCTCTGATTACTGGAAGAAATAATGATAACGTGTGTTTACTTACTATTGCAATTACGTTTGCGTTTATACATCTTACTATCTTAAGAGAAAGAAATAGGCATTCTAAGGTATATAATCGACTTTCAAAATTTCTGTTAATATTGCCCTGTATTAAAAATACTAAATCTTTGTATTGTTTTGTTTTAGGAAATATACTTGACTAAACAACCAAACAAAACTCATGAAACAGAATTAGTACAAAAAGTCCAAGATTACAAACAATATTTTGTAGACATGTATTACACTTGGGAAGATTGGCGTAAAGAATTCATTCATATTACGAGTCACCCTGAATCTCCCGTATCTTCATTTCCCTGTTTTGTAAAAGATAGTTACCACGATTTAAGCATATATTATATGTACCCACATTCTACTGATGAGGTGATGTTAAAAGATGAAACAAAGTTAAACAAATATAAAGAGCTATGTAATCAAAGTAAAATGTGTTTTCTCGACGAAGCAAAAGGTATATTTTTGAATATGTATTCACATACTTTTGTTTTGGATAAATTCTTTCCTAATAATTGGGGTGCACTATCCGTCGCTCCAAATCGAACAATTGGTACCTTTACTTACGGAATTGTTGGAAAAAACACCCTTCCAAATGTAAAGTTGTATGGAACGGATTATGAAGAAAATTTTAAATTATGTTCTGATGAACCGGGTATAATTACAGGTATAAACATTCACCATTCTGATATTTTGAATGGTTTAACGGTTAAATATAAAGGTCGTCCTGGGACAAGTATAGGGGATGTAAAAGCTGGAGATGCGACAACTATTCGAGGTCTTAATAAAGATGATAGATATATAACTGGGGTGGATATTTATTTTAATAACGAGCGTGTTATTAGTGGCATTCAATTTTATTTTAAGGACAATTTAGTTAGCGAAGTTTTTGGAAGTGATAAAGATTCAAAAATTTTTTGCTGGTGGACCTATTAAGGGTTTTAAGTTAGCAGGAATTCAAATGGCTCCATCGAAATCTTCTTCAAAAAACCTTGATTGTGTGGGTTACATTTTATTAATCTTCGAACATGTACGAATAGCTCAATAATTGTATAAATTTCATTATATTTTTTATTTTTTATTTCTTATTGTTACCAGTTATGTTTTATCATCGCATTTATATATATTGCATAAACAATTACATTTTAAATTTAAGTTTAAAATTCTAATTTTTTATATATTTCAAAATAAATACTTTATTAAATAATAATGGATTGCGGATTATGGAATAATTAACCGATCATTAGCAATCTATCGATCAAGTTAAGATTTTTTTTAACGTTAATTAACCCTGTGGTCATGAAGTGGAACATATTTTTTCCGAATGCAGAAAGTGACAAATATTCTTTTGCACTTCCCCAGGTGCGCCAACAAATTTTTACGCTTACGTGATGATCGACATAAATTAGCCAATCAAAATTAACATACAAATACGTACTATTCAGAAACTCATCTTGCTCTAAAAAATGCAAAACTATTATCATTCTCTTAAAAATTAACAAATTATAAATACTTTT